GTATCAGAGGTAAGTATCAGAACATTTGGGTGAGTACGAGTACAGACCATGGATATGTAAATCCCTTCTCAAAGGGAAATGTTCTGGCATACTACAAGATGGGGCCCAGTACCCATCAGGTTGTTTCCAATCCACAAAGAGAAATGCCTCAAAAAGCGGGTGTAGCACAAAGGTCTTTACAGATGTAGGCGCTCACATCAGCAGTCACATTCACCAGGTGCAGGGTAATATGAACTGCATCAATAAGATTTGATACAACACCCTAAATATCCAAGTCAAAGCAGGAGACTGTGGAGACCCAAAAACAGCTTCTGTTGATACAGACTGTTGAATCTGAATCAGAGATGATAACAGAGATTGCAGGTCCAAAATTATTTACAGGCTTAGAGACATACACTGCAGGGGAAAACACTTCACAGATAACACAGTACACAAAAGTCTGGAAAGTGCCACAATGCAGAGCCCAGTGCCCGAGGGTAACATTTCAGGCTTGCCTCGTAACATCCACAGCCCTACTCAAAGAATGGGTGTTCAGAGACAGGGTCACACCTGAGGCTGTACCACGGCTAACCTAACCCGTTGCACATAGGTCTGGAAAGTGCCACATTGCAGAGCCCAGAGCCCAAAGGTCACATTCAAGGCTAGCAACGTAATTATCTAGTGTGGTGGGGTCTGGGTAAAGACTTATTGCTGGGGAAATGCTGATCCAGATAGATGCATATAGAGACCAGCTCAAACAGCTTGTAGAGGACTCTTGACTGAAGAAAAAAGAGGTGATTTTGTTTAAAGAAAAATAGCTAGCAAAAAAGTTAAGGCAGCAGAGTAGGGAAAAAGACATCCATTCTCCTGGACATTAGCAAAAAACTGAGCCATTCTGTGTAGAGAGCAGTTTTACTGGGGCTAGCTTAAAACCTTTCTGTTTGCCAGTGTCCACTCCTCCTGAATGTGGCAGTGTTTCTGCATTCCCATATCCCTCAATGGATGATGGGGAAATAAGCTCTAATATATCCATGTTTCTTATTGCAATGCCAGGATATGGAACTACTGCTGTAATCTGACACCATTTCTGGGCATAGGTAATTGTGTTTTTATACTGGGTCCATATGAGCGTAGGCAGCTGATGCCAAAGAGCGTGCACAATCTCGCAGGACCAAACCCAGCTACAGAGTATGATCTCATCACAAAGACATGCTGCACTTATTGTATGAAACTCACAATACCCTTAGTATTATGGCTTTGTTTGAATGGGCGTGTTATTTGCTACATATTATTTTATGCATGTACCTGATAAATTTCATTTTTCTTCAGGTATTCAGAGAACAAACTTTGCACTATGGGGAGATAGAGGCTAGGGACAGCTCTTTAACAAGGTGAGAATAACAAAATCAAATAAACTCTCACATTTCACTGTAACCAAAAGGAAGATTAAGATTAAGCTCATGAGTATGTGTTTTTGGAGCCAGCTATCCTAGGTGGACACCTACTTTATAAAGTATTCTAAAAGGCGGGCAACACAGCTAGTCTTGGATGTAGATTAAACTAAAATGTGTTTTTAATCATTATTAATAAAGTGACAGTAATCTCAAGAGTAAAATCTTAAAAATGCATTCAAGTACATTGACTATTAACCAATATGTAGCTTATTGATGTATCACTCAACTGCAGAACCTCAAATCATCTCTGACTTGGTGCTGACACTGTCCTTCCTTCTGGAGGGTGGCTACTTTTGTTCCTCATGGTCCCTATGTGTGTTATAATGTAACCACCGCTCCAAGCTCGCTCCCGTGATGGACTACAGTTCACTGATGTGGATTGAGATTGTAGTCCATCACAGGAGTGATCTTGGAAGGAAAGGACAGTGTCAGCAACAATTCAGAGATTATTTGAGGATCTACAGCCCATTGATGCACAAATAAGATACATTTTTGTTAATAGTTAGGGTACTTAAATGCATTTTAGGATTTTACTCCTGAGTTTAGTGTCACTTTAATGAACCAAAGCCACATTTGTAAAGCTGTGGTCAGCCACAACTCTTGTAATTAGCCCTGCAACTAGAAAAGTCTCTAAGATATGCTCAAAACTTAACGTATCAGAGGATGAAGTAAAAACAGAAAGCAATAGCATATGAGGTGACGTACTAAAGCAACCTAGAACAAAAATATTACAAACAGGATGTTGAATGACCATTGGCATCATACTATAACTATGCAACCAAACCTATGCACATAAACGTTAAACTTTTTTTAACCAGGGTTAGTATAAATAGATATAGTCGGGACTATGAAACTATTCATCAAACATTACTTTGTAAAATACATTTATAATACTATTAGCGCCTAACACCCAACCTTCACTCTACTGCAGAGCTAAAAGCAGTGCTAGACTCTACAGCGTTTCCAACTGTGTCACATTTCTGCATCCCCCCCTTGGCCACTAGATGACTTGTGTGTCCCTGCACTGAGGGAAGTGGGGAGTTGCCACAGCAGGCAACAGGGTGACACATGCATCTAACACAACCAGAAGTATAGGATGCTGAACATTCTAGCAGCACAGACTGCAGTCTTCCCTCTGCAATAGAGAGAAGACTGGAGTCACTGGTGAGTATTATAAATATATTGTTTTTTAATTATACCTTTCATAGTCATGACAGTATCTTTTGAAGCCTTTGGAGCTAATGTGCTATTATTTTTTTTACTATTATCATGCACTGGCACAGTGTAGTTGACATTTTTTTTGCTCTGTTCTTTAACTGAAACATTCAGAGGAAGACAATTTACGACAAAGTACAGCGGTGTTCAGACAAAAAATGTTTCATTTGCTGATTGCTGTCTAATGACACCTGGTAATTAATGTTTTTAGCTTCCAGTCTTTTCCCTGTGATCATGATGGCTGGTACCAATCTACTCAGAGATACTGTAGAGTGGATGTGGTTCTGGTTATGAACACTCATTCACATTTATTTTTGCAATCTGCCCTTTTGGTTCTTTGCACGTGCACATGTACATTAGTAGAAATGACAAGAGTAGATCTGAATCCTGGTGCACAAGGCTCACCCCACTAGTGCATAAATGATATAATGATGCACTTTATTTCTAATCCTTTGAATTCAGCTTTCCACCTGTTTGTAAAAAGAAAGAAGCAGCTGACAGTTCCATCTAGTGGTCCTTAGAGCAACTGCAGCGCAAGCAATTACTGGACTTAATACCTGCATGGCAGGCTGGTAAACTGAGTGATATTCCAGCTGTAGTAATTGCTTAGGATAAAAAAAAATCATAAAAATGCATGCTATACTGAAAGATCATTATAATATATTATACCCAAACCCACCTTTGCCTTCGCAGGTCCCAACTGAATAAATCTTATTAGAGACACACATTAATGGACCATGGATGAAACCTGGACCACATGATTCTGGGAAATTCCCAGTTCCAAAGAAGTACATCAATAAATGAACATGAGTTAAGCCCCATGTATTCTGAAAACCAGATCTTGCAAAAAAGAAAATAATTAAGTCTAATAAAGGAGATTATCCTCTGAACAGGCACCTTGCACTGTCACATCTGGGTGGGGCAGAGTCCATAGCAATGTGTAAGCTTCAACTCTTGGCGCTGACTCTCTTTGCTTATGGTGGCCTGAATGCAATCTAAAGCTGCTGGATGGCCTGGTAAACCTGTTGCTTTCCTTTACATGAGCAAATCACAGTTTTTGCAAATCACATGTTGTGCAGTGTGGAATCAAGTGATATCACACACTGTAGTATCTAGCAATACCTAATGGAATGACGCCTAATATATGTAACTGCTTTTGATTGCATGCAGAGTATTTAAAATGCATTGTAAACAGCAATGAGGATGTACAGTAATTCAAAACTGATAATAAGTTTTAACTTGAAGTCAAATACTGTAACTTTGTACATAGCACTTTACTAACAAACTATGTCTAAAACTTACAAAGGATATGGTACCTAAACCTGTCAATTCAATTTGGATTTATACTTGATGTGTCTTACAACACGTTATACACAACAGCAGCAAATATGAAGCCGACATACTGTATATAGCTTACAGTAGCTACCACAACCATACTGAATATTGAAGACAAAATGTAGCCGGCGGAAGCCACTGTCACTGTCAAATATAGCTCCACTACTTTTATGCCAAAATATGGACCCTGCTGAGCTACAACTCAGACTTCTGTCCATCTATCCATACTGTCAGCACAGGACTTTATCACACAGGAAGGAAGCCAGCAGCAGCTTTTGGAACTGAGATATATGTCACCATTTAAACAACCAAGATGTATAAATTATATAGCCAAAACAAAGAGACAGAAAAATGTAATCTCCATTACAGGCTGGACCTGAAATGTTACATCTGCGTATCAAGGATACTTCTTTCAGACACGTCAATGTCTAGAGTTTTTATACAACGGCCAGGTTGCAACAAACAAAATACTATGATCTTCTCCTTAAAGGAGAATTATGGGGTGAATGAAAAACACTCATCCCCTAATTCAAGCCGACCTGTGACAAAGAAGCTGTCACAGGTCGGCTCTATTGATCGGGAAGTCAGCAAACACATACTGCCGATCGCTGACTTCCCGATCCTCCTCCTGCAGAGAGCGGTGACTGTCAGTCATGGCTCCCTGCAAGGATTCCCCCACTCTCCTCTGTTTCTTTAGCGCTGACTAGAGGAACAAACGGGGAAGGGGGCAGGCACAGCTGCCTCTGGCTCTAAAGAGGCAGAGCCAGCTGTCAATCAGCCAGCGGGGTGGATCTCAACAGCATTGTCGGGAACCAGCCTGGCTGTGGCACGGCTCTGCACTGGAGGACATTAGTATATATCCTCCCGGTACCCTAAAGAGAACTATGGGCAAAAAAGGTTGCCCCATAGTTCTCCTCTAAATAGCCTTGTCATCATGACCACTATTGTTTAAGAAATGGTAGCATACATCTGTAAATATCAGCAAGAGAAGATGTAAAATATAATTCACCACCTTACCTGAAAGTGCAGAATGATGGTCCATATTAATCCCAAAGTCAATTTGGGATTCCCATCTGTTATATCATCATTTCTAATATTAACTAGTTTCACCTGTAATCAGAGGTAACAGTAATGTATTATCTATGAGATTTACGGTGCATACATAAAACATACTGTACAATTATACCATATTTGTAACATTTAAAAAAAAGATTACATAATTTAAGAGGCACGTTTTGCTTCTAAACTGACTACACGCCATGACCCCAATTTATTTCCAGGCCTAGTAGTTTCTATAAAACACACACACACAGCCTGTAGCACTAGGGCCACACGCAGCCCTTTGGTCCTTGCAGCTCTCAGGCTTCAGTAAACAGTGATTGTTTTGCCTAAATGCCTACTCTGGGTCAGTGAAGGAAAACTAAATTAGCCTGGATTTTGTTTACTGTTTTGGTTTCTTTCTTTCATAATTTATGTTTTTTGGTATTCTCCATTTGCCTTCTCTTTAGGCTTTTTTTCAGCAACTTTGTATAAATAAGGTCAGGGGAATATTATCAGTGGCACCAGTAATTTTTATGGAGATATGGGCAGCACAAACATGGGTCCACTGATTTGTAAATGGGACTGCAATGTCAAAAATCTCTAGCAATCTCATTTATCTTATCCTATAGCATGTCTACAATCTCTGACCACCATCCTGTAGACGGCTCACAGTGTCTGAGCATCTGCCATAGTTTTTGACAGTCCCTGACAGCTTTTCGTCAATTTTATTACATGCACTGAATACTTTGTGCAACCTTTTGGTGATGTCAGGGGCCACACTTGAGGCCCTATATGACCACTATTGCTTTAGCAGAAAAAAAAAATGTTCAGCAACAGGCAAAAATATAGATATGACCAACAGTTGCACAGTTATCATGTGACATGAAAATTGCAACTGCCACTATGTTATTCTACATGGTTTCTGCTTTCAGAAAATATATAATAATTTAGGGGGTTTAAGTAACATTCAGACCTAACGTTTGCATTTTAACATGTGTGCAAAAAATTAAGAATTAGCCCTCCCCTGAGGCATTTTGATCAAAAAGAGTTTAGTAATAATCTCCAACTAAGGTCAAATTTTGTGAAAAATGTCAAGGGAGAGCTCAGGTGTATTGCCGCTGTACTAGAAATTTACAAATTTCTTTAAAAAATAAAAATAAAACACAAACACATATGGTTATTGATTTGGAGTGCAGCTTGTTTCATGCTTTTTGATATTTGCTGCGAGCTGGAAGCTGGCAGCTGAGATTGAGTGACTGTGTGGATGAGTATCTGGAGTGAAGAATCTGTTTTCACACCCTAAGGCGTTGTCAACCTGCATCAAGTTTCAGCCATGGAAGCCTGACATCCAGACAGAAGGAGCTAAAGGATGACGATGCCTGAAAGTCTAGGAACAGATTTGCGGAATATAGAGTCTAGTACGCTATATCTGGCACATTCTCTCTCCTCCCCTTCCACCAAACCCTACAAAACATTCCACAAAAGTTGAAAAAATATATATTACCTGACGTTTTTTCAAATAATCAAGTGCAATTTGTACATTCTGTAGTCTGTGAAAACGCATTCTGCCTTTTTCACGTGGCTAAAAAAAAAGAGGGAAAAGATAAGACAATGTGAGATAAACCCGTATTCTAATAGTGACACTTTTAACAGACATTGTGCTTAACACTTCCAGATGATCAGCAGATAAATGTCAGAGTGAGTAACACACATTAAGTGATGTGCCCTTTCATGCAGCGTAGATAATAAAACCCACACACTGCTTTTATGTGTCAAACTATCTCTTATCACTATTTAATGTTTTATGTTCTAGAACAGTGAAAGAGATCAAAGTTAATTTATATAAGCAGAATTATGGTTCATTGAGAGTAAACATTATTGCACCATATTAGTAATAGAAAACTGGTGGGTGAGCTACTAAAAGGCCTACATTCCTGTCCTATGTTCCCTTTAAATTCTTCTTCATTTACATGAATGAGTCTTTGATACAAGTTCAAGTTCACAGAGACAGTACACAGGAATTACTACCTTGCCAAAAACAACTGGAGTCAGCTCAGTATTAACTGAAAGTGTCAACTATAGGCAGAATCAAAAATGATATATATGATGCATCCTGTCACTAGCAATAAAGTAGACCTTGCACCTAAAAAGCAAGGTCTGCTGTTTACGTGTGCCCCCTTTCCCCATTGCTGAACCGCAGAAAAAGTGTAAAAGAATACACCTGTAAGGGAAAAAAGTTAGCTACTATATTCACCTTTTCCAGGCTGCGACGCCTAGGTGAGGGTGACATCATCTACCTTCCAGGAGATTCAGAGTACCGTATATACTCGAGTATAAGTCACCCTCGGCTTATACTCGAGTCAATACTTTTTCCCAGTTTTTTGTGGTAAAATTAGGTACCTCGGCTTATATTCGGCACGGCTTATACGGTACTTAGTATTTCCTGGGATATCATTGGAAGGTAATGACATCTCTACCTGCACCACAAAAGCTGGGAAAAAGGGAGTATAGTCTCTTTTTTTTCTGTATTTCTGTATTTCTTTTTTTTTCACTTTTCCAGCTTTTCAGCAAGGGGGGGCGAGGGGAAAACATAAACAGCAAACCTTGCATGTAATGAAAATCCCGCTCTAACTAAGCAATTTACATTTTTGGAAGTTCCCCTGTAAGTTAGGCAAATGCTTCATGATTTGTTCACATGTGTTTGAGAAAAAAATGTTGTTATAGACAATGGATTCCTTTCAATGTGGGTAAAACAAACATCACTACTTGGTTGCACAATAATGTATAATTGACAGGGGTCTTCCTTTTAATGTGAGCTGCATGTAGTGTGATTACCTTGGAAATGTGTATAGGGCCCCATTCATACTTGCTATTACAGCTTTATGCAAATTCCGGCATCAAGAATCTGTTAATTTCTGCAGCCACAATGACAGGTAAATAGCTGCAAGGCAGGGTAATGGTGACTGTTCAGATGCACACGGGCATCCACCAATTACTCCTCGCAGTGGCGGAACTACCGCTGGTGCAGGCGGTGCGGGCGCCCGGGGCCTCAGGCTCTCGGGGGGCCCAGCAAGTTGCCGGCCGCCGGATTGTTATCCAGCGCGCGGCGGGCCCCTGGTCTCTCCGCCGGGAGTGTCGGATCATCCGTTCATCCGACACTCAAGTGGGGGGGGGGGGGGGCACCAAAAAATAATCTTGCACCAGGGCCCTTTGTTCCTTAGCTCCGCCACTGACTCCTCGGTTAGAGACAGATGATCTTCCCTAAACGCAGTCTGCCTGTGTCTAGGGTCGATCATCTGTTCTTAACTGCATATAATCGGTGGATGTCCAATTACATTCAAATAGCCGTAAACAGCTGTAGCCACCTTCAGCCTGTTATTGTTACATATAGGCTGAGCGGCTATTTACACACGCCTGCCGTTCTGGCTGCAGAAATCCCCAGATTCCTGACATTGGATATGCCAAATAGTCCTAATTGCATGTATGAAAGGAGCCTAAACCCTTTAGCAGCATATGCATTGATCATTCTACCCATAGCACATCAACACACAACCATGATGCATACTTGCAGCAAAGTGGAAACAAGGTAATAACAGGTTTTTATTGCTACCTTCCTATGGGAAGGATTTTTTTCACTTTCTTCCTGTCTACAGGTTTATGCAGGATGAATAGTAAGGGATATCTTCCCAGTGAGGACACAGTTTGCAATTAAAGCACCATCTATGTATTAGAGTGATGTTCCTTTTAGGTAGATTTTCCCTCACTTTTTGATACGGAGGATTTTATGCTGTAACTTGCTGCTGCCTGCTTACACTTTAATAAAAGATCAGTATGGACGGAAATACATTTTACAAGTACTTTGTACAGATGGCTTTTGCCATACTGGAGAATTCAGATGCCCAATTTATGCCATTAGGCTATTGTATTTGTGGATTTGGTAAGCTCTTGCCAACACATATGCATGAAACAGACCCTGACTGGCTCCAAGTCTCCTGATTAAAAACAGGAGGCTAATATGAAAACACATAAAAGGGACTTACACTAATTACATTTAAAAATAGATATGATTTGTTTTAAATAAATACATAAGGGCATTGAATTGTGTTTTTATCTTTAAATACCAGTCCGGAGCTAAGCTTTGTGGCTCTGTGTCATATATTGTAGTATATAATGCTATAACTGTAATCTGTTATAGTTTTTGCCACATATATTCACAGCGGAGAAACTTTCACTGGAAGGCATAATTCAACAATTATAGAACTGGCAAACCATTTTCCGACATCTAAATTGCATCAATGGCTAAAGTCTGGGTGACGGCAGTTGTAAACTACCAAAGCAAACTAAAAAGCATAAAAACACAGCAGAAAATACATGGAGAAAATACATCTCATAACATGAGGAAAGCCAGCATGGCTGCAGAAAAATAAGCAAAATTGAAAATATTTGACAATTCTGGATGGTTTCATCAAGCTGGTTGCAAGCTGCTAACGCTGTTTGCCAATGTAAGCAATATGGTGACTGGTCCAAAACTGTATGATTTATTCCTTTCAAACACTCCACTGTTTGTTCAAAAGCACAGTCCTGCATACATTCCCTAAAAGGAGTTAGTAGTCCTCAATCTTATGCAAGAATCAAGTTCTGAGATACCCCAAGAGCAGACCCACAGCATTCTGTGGCTTTACGTATGTTGATATTGCTGTAGCAATCTAAGGGGACCACATAAATTACATTGCAGTCCACCCTTTGTCACCACGTCAACCTCTGTGTCTCACCTTTGATAACCTAACCCATAGATTTCTTTGATGACAAAAAAGGTGGACAAAGCCTGTAACACCTACATACATATCATTAGTCATACCAAAATATATAAAGGTTTGAAAAATTGTTTATATTTTCTGGATGACTAAACAAAAATTAAAAGAGAACGAATTTACATGATCATGGTATAAATTACATTCATAATTATGTATGTTGAGGTACATTATTAAAAAAAAATGTGTGAAGAAAAGTGCCAACTTCAAAATGAAGGCCAATATCTGCATGGGATTGATAGGCATAGGCATTGATAGGCATTTGTTTTTTGAATTACTAAGATGGATCTGAGATTTTTTACTTACCTGTAAAATCCCTTTCTTGGAGAACAGTACAGGAAACAAGCCAATGAGGATGGATGGGACTGCCAAAAAGCAATAATGAAGGGTAGGGGATCAGCAATCTAAGAGCAACTGTGCTTGATAGGTGAGCACAACCAAAATAGGAAAGGAGAAAAATAGCACCGCGCTTATGCATATGCAGACTGTTGCCTCCAAGGAAGTCGGAAAGTGACGAAAGGCATCATGTGGGCGGATCCATGCAAGCATTACGATCACAGAGACAGGAACTCCAGTGAACACTGACATACTACACTATGGGAAGCATTTTTTCTCACTCTGAGTATAGGAGAAGGTGGAAGATGGAGGAATAGTATAAGACGGTTTTGGAAAGATGAGCTAGAGTTTGGAAGAATATACCCCAATTTATTTGCGGATCAAAAAATGAAGGAGAGGATTTGATTCTATATATATGAACAAAGCGCTATCTGAAATATGGTGAGCAATAGGAGTCGGTGAATGCGGGCAGATCATATCTTTGAGCACGGTGGAGACTGGAGAGCACTGATTCACTAATTGTTTATGCATTCACGGACGTGGTGTGGATTATAAAAGAGTGGAAGATATAAAGTATCTTCACATATTTCAAGGACTTTATTGCGTTAAGAAGAAATGGACTACATATGGATATGTAGATTAAGTGGGAGTTGGACATTAGTTGTGAGATTTAATTCAGGACTTTCTATATGTACACATTCTATGAGATGTACTAGCACAAGTATTTTTTTGGTTATTCAAATTTTTTCAATGTTTATTATGGTTTATAGTGTCTGGACCATTAGACCTAGAGTTTTCTGAAGTATCATTAGCACAGGCATTGTGCAACACAGGTGTTGTGGATAACGCATAACTGTTTCAATGACTATAGTGCATAGTAAAGGATTAATTACTCCTGTAGTACCAAACGACCAAAATCAGCTTCCGTTGATGCCTGTACATCCTATAAAACCTTGTGAAGGTATGAACAGATGATCAAGTAGTAGCCTTGCAAATTTGCTGAACAAAGTCCTAGTGAACAAAAGCCCAGAAAGTACTGACAGCCCTGGAGGAACGAGTTCTGATAGGAAAGATGGGGAGGGGACAGAGGCGTAATTAGAACCTTCAGGGCCCCGGTGCAAGAGAGCATGAAGGGCACTCCCCCCAACCGCCGTGGCACCGCATGTTAACAGGAAGGCTGCCGAGGTCCCCAGCAAGTGCGGGACCTCAGGCAGCCGCTTGTTTAACATTTTAGTGCGGCGTTCTGTCGAGAACGCTGACCCAGTATCTGCGCTTGCGTACAGACGGGATTACCGAGGAAACCGGCATTTATTTACAAAGTATTTGTTTGTATTTTTAATTGTGACAGTTAATAATATACCATGCATGGCAGTGAATGATGGATGGCATAGTATTAACGGTCACAATTAATGATTTAAACAAAATACTTTGTGAA